ACCCATCTCCCAGGGCCCAATTCTGTCCCTTAGCAACTTAATCCCCCTGAATCGAAGGGGTGAAAAGAGGAAAATCTATCCCAGCCAGTTACTTAGAATCGCATAGAGCAAAACAAAGAAGTAACTGCTGATTTTAGTGGTGGGTGAATGTGTTTACAACATTCAGCATCAACACCGAGTCTGCTCAGAGTCTGCATGGCTGGCACACCTTGCAACTGCTGTCCGCGTGGTGAAGAAATTCCAGAAGAACAGTAGCTTGCAAAGACCATCCCAGTGCTTCCGAGACCTTTCCCAGAGGAGGACACTTTCTCCAAAAAGAGTACACAGACCATCTGTGCGTCATGATTTGGTGGGGAGAGGGTGGCCAGCCACAAAGCAACCTGTGGAATCCAAATTGGGACTCAAATACAAGGAGGAGGATAAAGATGGGGCAGAAAGGGTTGCCTAGAATCTCCACAAAGCAGGCACAAGGCTCTAGCTCAGGGTAGAGTGTGTGCTTGGTATGCATGAGATCCTGGGTTCAATCCCCAGTACCACCATAATAAATAAACCTAATTACCTCCCCTGCCTGACCCCCGCAAAAAAACAAAACAAAACAAAAACCCCAAAAGAAGCTCCACAAATCTGCACAAACCAGAGAAACCTAATTTCCAGAACTCACTGCGGAGAGGGGAAGGAATGCTGAGAGTTTCTATATGCCTCCCCGACCTAAATCCCACTTGCAAAATGGAGTTGTTATAAAAATAGATTTAAGGATAATGGGGACCTTGTAGTTGGGGGAGCAGGACTGTACAGCTGACCAAATTTAGAAATAATAAAGACTTTCACAGTGAGGTTTTTCTATGTTTTTTGATTATCAATGACTACTCTGATATTTTTTTTTCCTTCTCAATATTTTCTACAGTAAATCAGAAACCACATGACCTTCCTTTCTCCTGCTGTAATTTACAGAGACGCAGTACAGCAAGAAAAACAAATGATACTGACTCAGATTCCAAAGGACCCAAGGATCAGATTTCCAGGCAATAGTTGTGAATAGCATTTATCCAGCCATATAATTTTTTTCAGCATATGATTTTTGTGTGTGTGTGTGTGTGTGTAAGCCTAGATCTATCAAACAGAGGGTGGAAATATGAAGGTAAAAGGAATTATATTTTTAGTTATCTGAAGAGAAGGCTTTTTTATGCTATCCATACATGCTATAAATCCCATCAGGTTTATTCAGGGTTCAGGAAGGAGGGAAGGGGAAGAAAGCATTTAGAGAGGAAAGGAGGAAGGAAGAAAAAAGAACAAAAGAAGAAAGAGAAAGGAAAGGAGCAAAAAATAAAAAAGGCTCCTACTTAGGTGAAAACTACTACTGGGGCGAAAAACAAAGCGAGGCCACATGTTGGGGAATAAATGCGTTTCCACATGTGAATGCCAATATATTATTGACTAACCCTGAGTCATAAATATGACAATTTGCCTCATTTCATAGTGAGGTCAGGCTCGGCCCAAAGAAGCAGCCATCCTCTGCTTACTTAATGCTTCTAAATATGAGCTTTCCCCAAAGCTCTCCGCGCATATAATATAACGCCATGTGCATATGCAGTGGGGAGGAGGGATGGGGAGGTGACAGAGAGCAAGCTGTGAACACAAAGATACTTTTAAGCTGGATGCTTGTACATGATATATAGAACAGAAGATCGTCCATCATGGTTATTGAAACTGTGACCAGCAAAGCTATAAACCTGACACGAAAGAAGAGAAAATATGACTTGTTAGGTTGAAAAAGCACCAAAGGGGGAATTATAAAAGGGAAAATTTCATGACAAATTAGTTTGTATTTTCTGTTTTCATTTCTGACACATGGAAGGAAATGCTATATGTTTGCTTAAGGAAGTGCAAATTTCTCCACTTCATCCATTTAAAATCCTCACCCTTAGGCCTTTTGTACTGAAGCATAAAGTTTGGAGACCTTAAATAGTCGTAATGTTTCCCTGAAGAATTTGGCCTCAGAAACATATTACAATTCAGAAGGGCTGAAAAGGAAAACCATTTTACAGCGATCTGGCAGTGTCTGCTTCAGACAGCTGGTAAGGAGCATCAATTCATTCTCATGGTTTCTTTACCATATTTGATGAAATATTAGAGGCAATTGGAACAAGCGGCTCAAGCAAGAAAGCCATAAACTTGGAAGCGGTGTTGTAACACAAGTGTGCTAACATGAAGTAAGTCTCAGATTGGGAAAAAACTGCCCAGTGGCTTGCTCATAGAATCATCCTACAATGGGCTGGAAAGTCACAGATGCTGAGAGCCAATCTGCTGTTTTATACGCATTCCCCTTCTGGGAACTAAGATTTGGAGCTTATTAATAATCATTCCCCAGCTCTGGAGAGCAAATAAAAGAAGAAAGCTCAAGTGCAAGAGGAAGTACTGCAAATTCCCTATTTTAAAGTGCTCTGCAATTTCTGTTGGGAGGAGGGTGGAGGTGAGTGGAGAGGTAGGGCGGGTGAAGAGAAGATGAGATGATAATAAGGAAATTCCCCCAAAAGCAACCTATTAACAGCTACAATAACAATAATACTGTATGACTAGTAGAATGATATCTTTTAGTTACAGCTTTAATTTAATCTTTAAAGATGTCAATCCTCCCCAAATTGATCTATAAAAAAATTGCAGAATTCTACAATCCCAATCAAAATCTCAACAAAATATTATAACTTGAAAAATAATTCTAAAATGTAGCGGAAAGAATGAACAAGCCGAAATAGCTAGGAAAATTCCGAAAAGGAAGATTAAGGGTGGGAAAGGAGTACTTATCCTAACAGATACTAAGATTAACTGTAAAAACACTGTCACTAAAAAACAGTCTAATCTGGGGGCAGGAATGGAACTGAGTATAAAAATGTTGGTACTCAACATATATGTAAATCTAGTTTATATCAAAGGTGGGATTTCAAAACAGTGCAAAAAAAGATGGTGTATGCTTATATTAATGTTGGAAAAATCTGTTAGTAATTTATAAAATAAATTAAGCTGCATCCCAACTCACTCCTGATTCCAACATAAATTTTAAATGAATCAAGTATTTAAGTAAAAAGAAATGCAAACATAAAAGCACTAGGAAAATATGGCTGAATACTTTTATAATTTTGTGATGGAGAGAACTGCTCCAAGTATAACAGAAATTTCAGAAACCATAAAATATAATAAAATTTTGCAATACAAAAGTAAGATGAAATGTTGTGCAAAAAAGAAATCAACAAAGTCAAAATGCTGAAGGCAACAAACTGGAAAATACATAAGAATATTATATTTTTATTTTAGCAAATTATGTTGTGTAAATAAATCAATGTATTTAAGTTAATATAACAATATACAAAGAGCCCTCAGAAATAAATAAAAGAACAACCCCAATATAAAAATGTATGACAAATATATACAATTAACAGTAGAAATACAAATAGCCAACATAATTAAGAAAAATATTAAACCTCACTATTAATTAAAGAAATGCAAATAAAGTGCCATAGCTATCAATCAGATTAGCTACGATTTTTAAAATAATTATAGGGTCACTGAGAATCTACCAGCAAATCTTTCTATGTGCCACTTCTCACCACCTTTACAGCTACCAACACATGCAATAATTCTCACCTCATGGCTCCTATAATAACTTCTGAAGTGGTGCTTCCATGCTTGTCTTTCTATAGACAATTTTTCTTACAAGAGGCATCATTTCAAAACATACATCATATAATTCCAGGATCTGGAGTCTGACTGCCTGGGTTTGAATTCTGGTCCTGCCTCCAATTCATCACATGAACTTGAGCAATTCACATAATATTTTTGTGCTTGTTAAGTTATTTGTAAAATCAGAATGATCACAATAGTATCTGGTTCTTGCACTGAAAGGATTAAGTGCTTAGAACTGGCATATAGCAAACATGTGTTAAAGGATTAGTGATGAGGAAGATGCTGCTTCTGCTGATGTTAATGGTGATGATGCATGCCCCTGCCCCAAATCTTTCAGTGCCATCCCATCAAACTTAGAATAAAATAAGAAATGCTCATTGTGGCCTAGGAGGTGCTACATGATCTGGCCCCTACGTCTCTACAACCTAATTATTGCGCCTCCTTTGCTCAGTTGCAACCACACTAGCCAACACCTCATAGACCCCCAACTCTTAGTCTCTTTGTAATTGTTTTTTCCTAGCCTGGACCACTCTTTTCCCAGACATGGCTCATTGCCTGCCTCCTCAGGTCTCTGCTCCAATGTCACCTCTCCAGAAAAGAATTTCCTAACCACCCTATCTAACATAGTCCCTGCCTCCACCCCAGCCATATTGAATACTGCTATATATCATTGATTAAAGCATAAATTAATCCTACTTTGCAGGGAGCAATTTAGTTATATATGTCATAACTTACAATGAACATTCCCTTTGATCTAGTAATCTCTCTCCCAGGCAATTATACTAAGGAAGTGATTTGACAAGTATGTGAAGATCTGTGCAAGTATTTTTTCCATCAAAGCATTGTCTATAATAAAGAAAAACTAGAAACAATAAAAAAATTCAGCAAAAGGGTCATTAGTTATCAATTTGCTATAAAAAAGCGACCCAAAAACTCGATGACTTAAACAATAAGCATTTATTCTGCTAATGAGTTATGGGCTGACAAGTTGGGAAGAGTTTAGCTAGATGGTTCTTCTGGTTTTGGCTGACCTCACTCATGTGTCTGTGTTGCAGCAAAGTGTGTTACAGCTCTGTTGTGACAGCAACCTGGATTGGGGAGAGAGATGAAGCGGCACTCGGAGGGTTGGAGAACTCACGTTTATTGTGCCGGCAGGCCCAGAAGAGTTAACACTCCAAGCTCTGGATCCCGTCTGTAGGTTTACACAGGCTTTTACAGGCTGCCAGTCTAGACTTTGCAACATCATATGTAAATAAGGTGTAACAAAGTTGACTAATTAGGAATGAGCTTTGTAGAAATTGACCCATCTGGAGTGACAGAAATGGACCAATCAGTAGTGACAGAAATGGACCAATCAGGAGTGAGTTCCATGCAAATGAGGTGCTACAAATGGACCAATTAGGAGTTAGCTCAAGGAACCATAGAATCTTAGGGGTAAGTTCTGCTTTCCTAGAAGCAAGCCGTTTCAGAGGCAAAAAGTGAGATAATGCCGCGGGGCCAGGGAACCGGATGGTGCTGGCAGGAAAGCAGTGGCCCTGCCTGTGGGTCCTGCTGGTCTTTTTCATGGGGCTTCCCACCTCATCTATAATTAGCTATGAGGTGGGCTTGTTTACATAGCAGTTTCGCAGGATTCCAAGAGAACAAATAGAAGCATGTAAGGTCCCTTGAGGCCTAGGACCAGACCTTGCATAGAAGCATTTGTATTTCATTCTTTCAGCCAAAGCAAGTCACAAGGGCAGTCTAGATTCGAATGGTGGAGAAATGGACTCTACTTCATTGCAGGAGCAGTAAAACCACACTGTAAAGGAACACAGATAAGGGAAAGGTAGTCTGGCCATTTTGCAATCCACCAAAATAAAGAACTCATTGAATAAATTATGGTAACAATTACATTAGAGTATCCTATAGTTGTCAAAAATGGTGATGTTGATCTATACTTATTTGGTTGGGAAAGATGCTTATGGCATATTTACAAACAAGCAAAGCATATTGCCGAACTTCTGACCTGCAGCCCACATACAAACATGCCTATACATGTAAAAGATATTGGGAAGAATGTTTTCCAAAATATTAATAGTACTCAGCTCACACTAATGGAATCTGTTCATCTGCCTTCCTTTCTTCCTGATATCTTTTCTTTGTTCCTGATATACTGGTTCTTTCCTTCCTTCTTTTCTTCCTTCCTTCCATCCCTCCTTTCTTCCTTCTTTTTTCCTCCTTCATTCCTGCATTCTTATATCCGGTTATTCCTTCCTAGGGTGAGGTGATTAGAGTCTATTCCTTATGTCTCATTCTATAGTAGGTTAGTCTAGACGTTTTCTTATGACATTAGGAGAAGAAGAATATTAGCATAAACTTGCAGGCATGTTTCAATCCTCTGCTTACATCAGAACTTCTAAAGCAAGTCTCATGGCCAAACCCAGAATCATGGAATGGGGAAACAGTCTCCACTTCTTGATGAGAGGAGTTGCAAAGTCACATTACAAAGGGTGTGAGAAGAGAAAGCTTAAAGAATTGGGGTCATTAATGCAATCAACTATGACAAGGATGCTATGTTGATCTAGTTGGAAGGAGAGGGCTGGAGGATTTTGTCTTAAATTTGTGCTTGCCCAGCAAACATTGCCTTTTCTTAGAAAAGTTATTTGCTTAGGAAATGATAGAAGGCTAATGGGGATTATATAAGTAAAGCATCCCTGGTTTGACATTGTCGTTGGTTCAGTGTTACTATAAAAATAAAGTGAAATAAATTTTAAAGTGCTTTGAAAACCTTAAAGCTATGTACAAATGACCATTCTGTGTTGATTTCTAATTGTCATCTAACGTCTTTTGGGCCTCCTTTCCTTTCCTTGGAGTATTCAAACAGTGCAAAAATCATTTCAGTAATCGAGTAAGCCAAACATGATTGGGTACATAAATCTGTTGCTGCAAAACAAAGACAACATCACATAATGTCTACCAAAGCCAAACACAAATTTCTTTGGGGAAATTTACAACATTAGTGTGAATAATTGAAATTAAGCTAAATTTTTATCATTATTCTTTCTAATACTTGCATCAAAGGACTTGGTGATATTTAAAACTCAGATAAATTCCATCAAACTATTGCTTTGATTAATTTGAGTCTCTTTGCCTGCAGGGATTCTAAAATGAGTCATTCTTCCTTGAAACACATCCAATTGCCGTAGCAGCTGTAAACTGTAGGAGTTGATACTCCTTAATATTGAGGTGAAAGAGTCACTGAGCCCCACCCTTTGGAAACTACTTTGGCTACAACACTCATACAAAGTTCAAGGCCTTCATGATGAGGCCTAAAGCCTTTAATTAATCTATTTGCCTCTGCAGCTCCTGTGGTCCCTGAGTACTCCACCACTGCATAGCAACAACCCCTTATGTTTACTCATCCTCCTTCTCTGAGCAACAGTAACATTTTAGATGTCTTACCCAGCATTCAGCTGTGGAAAAAAACTTAGCAAAAATCTCTCGCCAGGAAGAACTGTGCCCCAGAATAAGAAACAGTTGGCTTTTTTGTTTGTTTGTTTGTTTTACAAAACCTTCCTAAGATATAAGAAGTCTCTCCCTGTATCCCAAATAACTGTCTAGCCTTCAACAGCTTGTCTTTTCCATTCATGAATGAAACATTTATTAATTCAACAAATACTTATTGAGTGAGAGAGAACTTTCTCTCTGTTAGACACGGTGTTAGGCACTGGCAATAAAATCCATGTCATAGTTTGAAGTAAAGCCTAGGAAGACTTCTCAAATCAGCTCTATCTATCTTATAACTCAAAAAAAAAACCCAACAGTTTCATTCCCTTTCCCCACTGCACCTTTGCTTAAACTTTTGTGGACTGTAATGTGCAAGGTGCTCCACTCTCCTATACCTTGTATGAATAACTAAAGTGAGCTGTGAACTAGTGAGCTAGGCAATGTCACAGGTACACTGTCTCTCACATCTGTCTTTCTGGATCTGCTTGTATTTAGTATAGCTGGAAAGAAAGAAAAGAAAAGAAAGAAAAAAAAGAGGGAAAGAGAGGGAAGGAAGGAAGAGAAAAAGAGAAAGAGGAAGAGAGAAAGAAAGAGAGAGAGAGAGGGAAAGAAAAGAAGAATGATAAGTGATTCAGCTGAGGGCATTTAAGAGAACGTAAGATAAATTAAACAGGTCAGACTGTTTTGGTTCAAGATTATTGTGGACTAGCTATTATAAAATACACAACATTGTAAACTGCCTATACTTCAATTTTTTAAAAATAATAATAAATAAATAAAAAGAACCTCTCATGTGGTCTAATTTTCTGACTAGGATTCTGCCTTGGAGTTTAGAGCGAAGGTCCAGCTCACAAAAAAGTGTTGCTTAGTTTCCTCACTTGTTAGTGTTCTCAGTACAGATTTTACCTAAAGACATATTGTCTGCAATCCAGAGCAATTTGGGGTCTTGTATAATTCCATCTATAAAGCCTCTAATCTCACTATCATCTCTAACACTATGAAAATAATTTCCTTCCACACACACTCCCTTCGTATACCACCAGCACCTATCTCCAAAATGTTTCTGTTTTAGTACATGATTGATTGAAAATTTACAGTATTTTACAATTCTAAGTAAAGTTTTTCCCCCCTTTTTTGAACATATGATCCCATCTCTTGCTGGCTTCTATTGATGCTTATGAAAAGTCAGTTGTCAGTCTAATTGTCCTACTTTTGTAGAAAATCTTTTTTTTTCATTGCCGCTGACTTTAAGATCTTCCCTGAAGACATATTTAAATGAGATTTACTTGCTTGAGAGATTTATGTCTTTTACTAACCATGGAACATTCTTGTCTTACCTTTTAAAACATTGCCTCTTCTGCATGACACCGAAATTCCCCATCTCATCTTCTAGGACTCTTCATCTGTATCTACATATATATTTTTCTTTTTCAATTTCAAATTTTTAATCTTGCTGTGCTGCCTCTGGGCAACTTCTTCACATCTATCTTTCAATTTATTCATTTTCTCATCAGTTACATCTAATCAGCTGTGTCATCTAGCTACTGAGCCTTTTTTTTTAATTTCTAGAAGTTTTTATTCCTTTTAGAATCTATTTTTATAATGTTTTTGTTCTGATAAAAATTCCAGTTTTAATCCTTTCTTTTTAATGTCTTTCATCATCTAAGACATACTTATTCTATTATATCTGAAAGATAGTTTTGTTACTTGAGTATGTTGGTAGCCTAATTCTTCTGTTATTGTTTTATCTGATTCTTGCTTGTGGTGAATCTGTGTTTTGTAATTTTGGATTATGAACTCATCTTCAGCAGATTATTATTATGGGATTCTTAGCCTAGACTGAGAGCATGTTCCTCCAAAGAGGTATTGTACCTTATGCCAGTCAATTTAAGTATATCATGAGTCCAGGACCTGCTTTATATTTGTCATAGGTGGGGTAGACCTGGGCTACATTGGTAGTAAAAATAATTGAACTGTAATCCCACATGAGAACAAGTATCTATTTCAAGGGAGACATTTTGGAGTTTGTTGCTGATGTTGTTGTGTGTTTATTCCCTAAAAAGCTATAAAACCCAGGCCCTCAGTTCTTTAAGATCAAACTCTTCCCCACAGCCAAGGTGACTAAAGCAACTCTTGTTAGCTTTTTCCATTTTTTCCCTTGAAACTTTTATTTCCTTCTTACAAACTTGACTATATATTTAATACAAATGTTTATCCTATTTTATGTTTATTATATTTTAATCTATATGTTTACATATTTTGAGAAGACAATTTCATGAAACTTAATCCAAAATATGTCCAGAAACTGAAGTTCTCCACCATTTTCTTGATATGGTCAACTCAAAATGTCGCCCAAGCAGCCTGACATATGTATGAATTTTAACATAGAGTAAATTTTAACCAATTAAAAATTAGTGAGTGATCGTCTTATAGTTAGAGGCAAAGTCTGTGTCCTAGTTCAATTACATGCCAGGTAGGTGCCTAATAAACACTTACTAACAGAATTAATTAACTAAACTATATTTACTGTTAAGCTTCTTATCTGTTATGACTACCCTTTGTTTCTCTACGGCAAGAGTGTTTTTTTTATTGTTATTTTAAAATATGTAAGTGAGTGACTCTAAAGTAATGAGGCAAATTCTACAAACCATGCACGAAAATTGATGTTAGTAATTTGCCAATAGCCACTCCTTATATGACAGACTTATAACGCGCAGAGCTATGGCTTGTTGCTGTGACAAGGAGATATGGAGATCACATGTACTGTTTTTAATTTTTAAAATAACATATCTGGAAGATTGATTAGCTTTGCAAAGACCACCATAAAACTTAGCTGAAGGAATAAAGATTACTCATCTCTCTGATAAACTGAAAGCACTAAAACAAGTTCTGAATATTTAATTCCCTATTAGCTGAAACCAAAATAAATCAATCACCAGTCAAACAAATAAAACAAAGATTTTTAAATCCATGTTGTCTCCACAGGACTTAGGCCTATAACTTAATCACTGAGCAAGTTACTGTTTAATTATCTCCTTAATCTGCATAGGTCTAAAAATAGACCCCCATCTTTTAAGCAGGGTGGCAAGTGGAATGACTGCTATTTCTGCTTCCCAGCGTTGTGGTGACAGCCCGGCATGTAGATTACTGCTTCATTGCGAACAGGGCTGCAAGAGACCATCAATTTACCACTAAACATGGATACCAGAGAAACAGGAATACCTTACAGGCAATGCCCTAGTCCAGGTAGGGAATTTCATTCTTTGGAAGAGTACAGAATGGGTCAAGCGAAAAAGGCCAGAGAGTAGTGAG